CGGCTCGCGAACCCGGGTCAGCCAGAGGGGGTCTTGGCAGGATCCTGCGCGATCTGGCGTTCTGGCTGACCCCCGTTTGCACTGACCCCCGTCTCTTAGGCCCCGACTTCTACGACGTCGTTGGTTTCCAGGAGGGGCAGTCCAAGCGCAACGAGCAGACTGAAGGCCAGCACTACACCATGCTGGCCTGCTGCTGCGGAGCCCGACGGCTCCCTTGGTGTGCAGTGCTGGGTGCGGCATGGCTCGTCTGTCCAGTCCTGGGCCGCCGTCTCCCCACGCGCATTGCACGTAACAGTGCAGCGCGCCACGCTTCTCACGGGCTTCGAGGTCGCGTACGCCCCCCACGGCATGACGCAGGACAATCTGAGGCTGCAGTGGTTCGCTGAGCTCACCGCCAGAATGCACCGGCCCATCCAAAGGTACACGCGCGGATGGTCGTGTCGGATCCGTTGCCTCGACGGCATACATCCCCAGCATGTCGGAAACAGAGAATCCCAACGGAGCCAGCTTGAGGTTGTTGTCGGAGACCCTCGACATGAAGATCGCGAACACTTGGGGTGACGGCGGCCCCACCTGGACATCGACGCACAACACCAAACATCGCATCGACTATGTGGTCAGGACGGCTGACGCCTTCGCCGGCATGAGGTGGTGCACATTCGACGCAGACATTGACCTCTCCCTCAACGCCAAGGCGGATCACCAAGTAGTCGCTCGGCATGCGCGTCTGCTGCCGCAGCAACCCCCGGTTGTAGCAGACAGGCCGTTCAGCGTCAACGAGCACAGCATGTCTTGTCATGCGCGTTGTGACGCTTTTCACCAGCTTCTATGGCGCTTCCCAGCGGCCCCCTCCACAGTCACCAGCGTGGAACATATCCCTATCCCTATGTTGGGCATCGCCTCATCACGATGGCGATCTTAGGAATTTCCTCAGTTTCTGAGGGTGTATCCCTAAGATTGTCATCTCCTTTTAGCGTGTCAATCTTAGGGATCGAGGCTGGTGACACCGTCCACATCAACGACCAGCATGCCATCCTCACTGAAGGGACTCGTGGGGTGGCTCTTCGCTGCTCCAGGAACCATCGCGCCAACCCCCGGAAAACGTGGCTGGGCCCTCGAACATGTGGCATCGTCCAGCACATCGCTCCTCTTCTCGTCGCTTCCGCTGCCGTGTCACGGGCGCCAGATGTGCTGCATGGCGCGCTTTTTGCCTCCATGCATGGCGTGACCAGCGCCCCAGGTTACGACATCGATTTGGATGCGCTCGCGGATTACGTGCTGAAAAACACCATGGTTGCAAGCCTGGGGCGTCGGTGCCGCCATCTCTGCCCTGCAAAAACTCGTTCGCCCGCTGCTGGAGGAGGACCGCCAGAAGGAACTATCTCGATGGCATGGCCCCAGTGCTATTCCCATGGGGCTCGACGCCAAGGACTCCCGCAAAGCATTTGCCACGCTCCGTGCTCTTGTGAAGGGGCCCCAGGACACACAAATAAATACACACAAATAAAATGATAATCCAAATTTTCCCATATTTTCTGTGTTTCTGCGTTCCCCCCCACTTCCCATATTTTCCCATATTTTCTGGGGAATCGAAGATTCATTGTGTCTGTGTGTTTTTTCCCTCCTGACTAGCCAATGCGTGCGGGACGCCTCCCGGAACCTCACCACAACCCCGGCGGAGGTCAAGGAGGTCATGGCAGAAGCACGCCGTCCAAATCCTTCGAGAGCAGGTCGTAAGTGCCCGTGCTCTCCGCCCTCCTCACGCTCCCCCTCGTGGCAACCCTGCGTGCCGTCAAAATCCTTCGAGAACATGTTGTAGATATCTACGACATGTTCTCGAAAGATTTTGATGTACTAGATAACACGGACATCAATAGATGTCCGTGCTCTCCGTCCTCCTCAAGCTCCCCCTCGTGGCAATCCAGCGTGCTGCTCTCTTGAGGTGGGCCCCGAGGCCACTCGCAAGGCTCGGGAGCGGCCAAGAGGGGGGTGTCCAAGAGGGGGGGTGCAAATCATGACCGGCGGCATGTGCGCGGCCCAGCGGGGGGGCCAGGGACGCAATGAAATAAGAAGAGGCGCCATGAAACCTGGGGAAATATCATGGCCCACGCCATGATATCCCCCCCCCTAGTCATCACCCCCCTCTTTGCCGCCCCCGAAAGGCACACCTCGCGCCGAGGAGGAGAGAAATACCAGGAAAGACGGCTCGCCCGCTGAGGTTCTGCCAGCCGGTGCTTCCGCCCTCGCGCGTCGGTTGTCCGATCTCCATGCTGCAGGGGCCCTAGGACACACAGATAAATACACACAGATAAAAGGATTCCCCATATTTTCCAATATTTTCTGGGTTTCTGTCTTCCCCCCCACTTCCCATGGTTTCCCATGTTTTCCGAAGAATCGGCGATTAATTGTGTCTGTGTGTGTTTTTCCCTCCTCACATGTGTGTATCCGCGATCGTGGATCTCGGCACCCGGCTTGCTGCGGCGGCCGGTCCAAGGAGATCTTCAAACGCAAGGGGGGTCCTGCTGCGACCGACGACCACCGCACCACACTGCTTGCGGATCATGCCTGCAAGGGCCTCACCGGCATCACGCAAGGGAGCGTCAACGACACGTATATCTCTCATCAGCCTGAGGCCCAGTATGGAGCAATTCCGAAGCGCGGCACGGACATGACCGCACATGTGCTGCATTCACTGGTCGACTACGCTGCCAAAGCTAAACTCTCTGTCATGGTACGGTACAGTGACTTGACGAAAGCCTAATTACGACAGGGTGATCAGACAGGTCGTCTGTGGCTCTGCCGCGTCACTCACAGCCAAGCAGCGTGCTCACTTGATCGAGCTTACTGTCTCCCCTTCGGCGGCTGACTGGATGCTGTCTCATCTGGACGAGCACAGCCATCTTCTTCAACAGTGGGATGTGGATCCGGCGGCAGCCGAGATGATGAGGACGCTGCGCGACAACGCTTGGGCCTCGGTGGCGGATCTCCAGACGTACGCCACCAGACGCACGGGCGGACGACAAGGCTGCAAATTGGGAGGGCTAACTTTCAATGGAATTGATGGCGCTGCACTCGATACGATTGCTTGGGAAGCCGAACGGGCAGGCATCACGCTGAAATTGCCGCTACCCGACGGGCCCTTCTGGGTCCCGCCGCGCGACGATGCGACCCTGGACGAATCTCTGCTCGATGCGGCCTTCATTGACGATGAGGCTATGGCTATCATGGCGAAGACCCCGCAGATCCTAGACGATCACATCGACAAGCTGTTGGGCATCGCCCTCGGGGTGTTCGAAAAATTGCAATTGCACCTGAGTACTTCTGCCGGGAAACAGAAGCCTTGCTCCAATATCGTGGCGCCCGTTGCGCTACTCATCGTGAGGCTCGCCGGCAAGAGGACGGTAGTCTTCGGATTGCCGTGCCTGGGCGCGATGTGAGCATTGCCGTTGCCACCTCGTACAAACACTTAGGAATGAATACGTCTATCCAGGAACTCTGCATGGTGGGCGCCAAATTGAAACCCTCCCGCATGCTCCATGACCTGCGCCCCTTTGTCCTGGACGGTGTTCGGATCCCAGCACGTCCAGCGTGCGCACAAGGTATGCTTCCTCAAGTGTCTTCTGATGAGCGAGCTGCTGCTCGCGGGGAGGGCATCAGCAGCTGGATGCCGAGCAGTGCTCGGCATCCAGCTGCTGATGCCCTCCCCGCGGAAGCTCAAGAGGCCGAAAGGCGCATGCATGATCGGTCTGAGGCGAATTGCCAACGAGCCTCGCTTCACCAGAACAAAGCACACGGATTGCCAGATCCGCGAGATGTTGGGGCAACCAACCATAGAATGTCACATCATTCGCATGCGGCTGAAGTATCTCGCTCGGCTGGTCGAGCAACGACCGCATGCTCTGAGTGCTACTTTGCACGCCCAGCCTGGAGGGCAGCGTTTGCAGTGGGTACAGCAGAGTGTTGATGATACTCTTCTCATTCACCCTTTTCTGCCTACCGAGTTCCCCTCCTTCTCATCTGACTCCATTGCTTGGCACGACCTCGTGGTCAATTGAAACGAATGGACTGCGCTTGTAGATAAAATCTTGTTCGCCCCTCTGTCTGTGATTACACTCGCGTTTCTGTGCAACCCGGCCAACCCGCGCAGCATGTCTGCAATTGCGGTGCCGCCTGCATTAGCTCCCGTACCCTTGCTACCCACCAACGCCCCAACCATTTGCAGACACATTCAATTCAGGACCGGCTAGGGTTGTGTGTGTCCTGCATGCCACAACAACATCGAGAGCGACAGCGTCTGTTTGCACATGTTTCCGATGAGCCTCGGTCACGGTGCCGCGAGTGCATCATTGATAATTGTCCTTTGCTGCCTCCAAAATAGGCGGACGAACTCCGAGCCGAAGATCGCGAACATCAGCGGCTTCCCCTAACAATCCGGGCATTCTCGTCACCCGGTAATGCTGCCGGTGTTGCGCAGGTCGTGACCACATGTGCTACTCGACACCTTGACCGTGCAGTGTGTACAGCTCGCTTGCATTTAAAGTGCTACATTTCCTATGCTTGAGAATACCAGGCCTTGCTTAATACTATATATATATAGAGAGAAAGAGAGAGACAGAAAGAGAGAGAGAGAGAGAGAGAGAGAGAGAGCGAGAGAGAGTGAGAAGTCAGCGCAATGGGAAGGGATGGGTGAACGGTGTCGGATGTCACACGTGGCGCGAATGTACCTGGCGTGTCTTTCTTCTCTTCTTCCTCCTCCTCCTTCCCGGTCCTCGCTCCTCTCTCTTCTCCCTGTCCTCCCGAAGCCTTAGGTCGGGCCTGTCCCCCTACAGGGGGATTTTGAACGAAACATGCAAAGTACTCCATACTTGAACAAATTGTCCCCAGACTATTTTTTGACTATTTTTGAATATTCCCCCTGTAGAGGGATAGGCCCGACTTCACCGAAGCCTCGCCTCCCCCCATGCCCTGACTGCAACTGCTCCCCTCATGGGGGGTCGCACCTGCTCTGGGCCGCGCCGCCCGCTTCAGCTGCAGCAGCAGGGACGGATTCTTCACCTTCGGCAGAGCAGACGAGCGCGTTCCACTGCTCGCAAAGTAGCTTCTCGCAAATGTCGGGAGAGGCCAAGAGGGGGGTGTCCAAGAGGGGGGGGGTGCAAATCATGACCGGCGGCATGTGCGCGGCCCAGCGGGGGGCCAGGGACGTAATGGAACAAGAAGAGACGCCATGAGATCTGGGGAAATATCATTGCCCCCGCCATGATATCCCCCCCCTAGTCATCACCCCCGTCTCTTTCGCCCCCGAAAATGGCCTGAATCCGCCGCGGGGGATCTACGATAAACCACATCGAAGCAGACATGTGTCTTTTGGGGCGTTTGGAAGTAGGCGCTTTGCGAGTAGTGGAACGCGCTCGGTGGGGAAAGGGCAACACGAGGGAGCTGGCAGGATCCGAGAGGGAATCGGCAAGAGCAAGGGAGGCGTGAGGCGGGAGGAAGAAGGGCGGGGGGGCGCACCTGATGGGTTCTTGAGCGTGACAAACCCGCTGCCGAACAACGTGCGCACCGCTTCCAAGAAGTGCACAAGGGCAAACCAAAACGCATGACCGCGCTTGTTTCAACCACTGACTCGTACTGTTGTTCGAACCTTGGATGCAACACTCCTGCAACCCAAACTTACACATTCTAAGCTCAAAACGTCCCGCGCCACTGCATTGTGAAGCGCTTACCCGCGTCAGCCAAAATCTAGAATCGGGTGGCAGTCTGCGTGCACTTCATCACAGGACGAGGTTCGCCTTCCTGCCGGGCCTCCTGGGAAAGACAGCTACCTCTCTCTCAATACATACATATATGTACACTGGGACTGGCGAGCCATGTTCTACCTGTAGCATCACCAAGTGAAGCGGCGAATCAACTTGGTGATGCTTACCCTCGTACCCAAAGGGGCAATATCCACTCTGCCCGATGGGACCTCACTAACAGGCGCCGCACTGCCGTGCCAAGCTCTCGGGAAAACACCGCCTGCCGAATTCTGGCGCCCTCTGTTTCGGCTGCGCTCCGTGAGCGGCCCTTGGGACGCGCAGAGACGTACTAGTACTACATGTCATACCGACCCGAACATAGAGCATACCCATCTTGAAATATATCGTTTCCCGAGCGGTGTGGCTAGACAGCGCCCGCCACGACGCATGTACTAGAAGATTGTTCGGTGCGCGCGTCGCCCCTGGGGGGGCCACGCACATGTAGTACAAGAGGACACGCGAGAGGACACAAGAGAGGACACAAGTCGACTGTACAGTCGGACTTGATTGGAGAGGACACGCGAGAGGACACAAGACCCTTCCGAGGGCCACGTTGCCACAGACATGCAGGAAGCATGGGTCGCAAGACACAGGACACGAGGGTACCCTTGATCTGGCAGGGTCGACCTACTAGTCCTTCCTCCTCCTGCCCCTCCTCCTCCTCCTCCTCCTCCTCCTCCTCCTCCTCCTCTCCTCCTCCTCCTCCCCTCCTCCCCCTCCCCCCCCTCCCCCCCTCCCCCTCCCCCTCCCCCTCCCCCTCCCCCTCCTCCTCCTCCTCCTCCTCCTCCTCCTCCTCCTCCTCCCCCTCCTCCTCCCCCTCCTCCCCCTCCTCCCCTCCTCCTCCTCCTCCTCCTCCTCCTCCTCCTCCTCTCCTCCTCCTCCTCCTCCCTCCTCCTCCTCGTCATCCTTCTCCTCCTCCTCCTCCTCCTCCTCCTCCTCCTCCTCCTCCTCCTCCTCCTCCTCACGCCGAGCCCCCTCCCCCGATGGGCGGAGGTGACTCTGCAGACCAACTCTCGCGACGACCCTCGGCACGCAGGACGTGCACGCTCGAGGGGGCCCCCCAAAGGCCCCCGGGCGGCGACCGCGTCGCCCCGCGCGTGCTCGGAGGCCGACCGCCCCACGACGGATCGCGAGGACTTCGGGAAGAAGGCAGGGCGCAGAGGTGAGCGACGCCCAAACACCGTCCACGACGACAACAAAAACCTTCCAAAACCGTCCAAAAACGATACAAAAAAACCATCCAAAAACCGTCCACGCCCAAACACCGTCCAAAAACCAAGCACGTGCCGAACCGGCAGCAAAATCGACACCGACTGGAACCGACAGGCCGCAGAGCACCGAGCAGCGACGCAGGAAAAACAGCACAGCAACCGACCGACCGACCGAACGCATCCGACCAGGGCGCAACCGAACCGACGAAATGGAGGACAGCATTGGCTCCTCCTCCTCCTCCTCCTTGTCCCCCTCTCCTCCTCCTCCTCCTCCTCCTCCTCCTCCTGCTGCCTTGACAAGCTCGCTGATGTCCTGAAGGTGAGTCTTCATCGCCTCCAGTCTTCTGCTCATGCTGTTGTACTGGAAGGTCACCTCGCGCCCCCCCGCCTCCCCCCGCCAACGCGGGGCTCGCCACGAGAGCTGGCCTCGCCTGCCCTCTTCCTCCTCCGATGCTGCAGAGCTGCGTCGGACCGACGACAAAACGGGCCAGAGGGCCTTGGAATGTATCCGCAGAGCCCCGGGACCGCGAAACGGCGACGTACAGCCGGGGCGTTGACCTAAGGAACGATAAATAAGGAACGAGGCCCCTTTTTCCCATAAGTTGAACTCCGATTTTCCATGGAAAACCTGGGGAAAACCCAAGGAGCGTTGTAAAACAACTAAGGAACACTGAGCCCCTCCCAAACGAAAAAGGTCCCTTCTTCAGCGGCCCGACTGTACATTGAAGACCCAGGGCGGACCCGTTGCACCCTGGGACCCTTCAGCGAAGGGTCCTGGGCGAGAGAGTGAACGTGAAGGCGAAGTGACCCTTCCTTGAAAATGAAGGGCCTTCACTTGCAGGGCGAATCTGCGCCGTCGACCGCCGCACCCCGCACTTGCCTCCAGGTGTCGACAGAGGCAAGCCACTCTCCAGAAGCGAGGCGCGACGCGGACAAGGCCGGGGCCCAAGAGCGGCACGTGTGTGTATACACACACATATATATGTATATATATATATATATATACACAGATTCCCCAATCAGTGCTTGCACTTACAGTAGGGGTTCTGACTTTGTGGAATAAAGAACTGGCCCTGACTGTTGGTCCGGGGGCTTCACTGCCGTCGTCGCCGCCTCATCGCCACCCGTCGTCTGGGCCTGAAGGTCGGTCTGGCGGCTATGTTGACGCCGTCGCCGCCGCGTCGCCGCCTCGTCGCCGACCGTCGTCTGGGCCCGACGGTCGGTCTGGCGGCAGTGTTGCCGCCGTCGGCGCCCCATCACCGCCTCGTCGCCGCTCGTCGTCTTGGCCAAACGGTCGGTCTGGCGGCCATGCTGCCGCCGTCGCCGCCCCGGCGCCGCCACATACGTTGCACCAATTGCACCACATAGACTGCACTACACATACTGCACCACGTAGAGTGTTCCACATAGATTGCACAACATATACTGCACCGCGTGGATTGCTCCATGTAGCACCACATGTTTTACGCAACATGCAGTCTGGCGGTTCTGTGCTCGCCATCGCCGCACCGTCGCCGCCTCGTCGCCGCCCGTCGTCTGGGCCTGATTGCCGGTCCAGGGGCTCCGTGCTCGCCGTCGCCGCCCTGTGGCCGTCTCGCACCTGAATGGTTTCGTTGTCAAGGTTTCCAAATTGAAGCCTCAACAGCAACAAAAACATGTGTACTGTATGGGTTCGTGGCATCCCTGCCCGCGCAAATCAAGGTCCGGCGAACTCGAGCCTTCCCTGAAGGAGACGGCCGAGGAGCGCGCGGAATGCCCCCGGACACCTCCCCTCCAGGTCCCACGACGGTGCGATGCCAGGCCGGTGCGGCGCCCTCGAAATCCCAAGCGCGAGGGGCGACCTCCAAGGAAGAGGAACCCTGAGACCCAGGCGTTGCCCTTATCAAGCTGGGCGTCGTCGCCCGTCTTCGGGCCCGGGGGCCACCACAGAGCCATCGGGCTCGAGACATGCCGCAGGAGGATGGGGTCTGGCGCTCAGGTGGTGATCTGTTTCCTCGTGATGTTGCACCTCTTGGGGGCCCTGGAGGCGCGTCACCTGAGACTTCCTCGGGGAACGGACCAGGACCCACCTCCGTGCGGCCACCCCGGATCCCCGCTGACTCACCACGCGGTGGCCGCCGCAACATCTTGGGAAACCCCCAGGAACTGGGCTCTCGCGAATCCCCGCGCCCGCCGCCCTCGAGAATGGTAGCTGCTAGCTCTCTGGGCGCGCCCTAGACTCTCTTTCCCGCCCGTCGCGCCCCCCGTGCGTACCCTAGGCTCCCTCTCCCTCCCGCCCCTTTACGACAGCGGCGCCCATGCACCGCGTCATGCGTGGACACTCTTCGTGCCGCGGCACGGTGCAGGGAACACCTGGCCATCGCTCGGACGTCCATTCCCTGTGTTTTTGTTCGCTTTCGTGCGTGGTTTTTTCGCCAAATGATCAAGGATGTTCCTCGATGGTCTTCGTCGAAGGAAAATTGCACACGTCCGAGCGATGCCAAGACACAGGCGCGAAAGGCGAAGGCTCGAAGAAGGCGCGGCCCCAAATGCCGATGCCCCGGCGCCCTGCCCGGGCGCCGCGCCGGGCCGGGCGGGGCGGGCCTGCTGCCGCACCATCTCCTCGGAGGACGCCAGGAAGTCGCAGGAGAGCAGCTCGATAAACTTGTACTCCTCCCCCCGAGCCGCCCTACATGGCCTGTTTGAGCGACCCTCCTTCGCCCCCCAGATGGGCCGCCCCCCAATGCCACCCGCCCGCCACCCGTGGGGAAGAACGGCCCGCCAGCCCAATCCGCGGACAGCAGAACGAGGAACGATACGAGGGGGAGGGGCGTTATCCTCCCCGCCGCGCCTTCCTCGGTCGTCGGGGGGGGTATTGAGCAAGGACTGACCGCCCTGGCATTCCTCCACGATTGCCACGACATGCTTATAACAAAAGAACGTTCTAATCACAACAACAACGCTCTTAGAATTGCCTGATGTATCAATGCGAGACCATCTCTGCGCATATTGGCCGAAACAACACGCAACGCATGCCACCAAAGGCTCTGAGAATTTGCTTTGGTGGGCCTATGCGCAAGCCAGGAGGCCCTGTTACTGTTTCAGGAGAGGGGGGTGTGGTGGCAAAGCGGCCAGGGGGCGCCCCCATGTTCCCAGGCCGCTGCCCCCCCAAGCCGCTGCGTCGATGAGTTGGGGTGGCACTAGCCATCTCAAGCGGTCGAGGACGAGTCTGCGACATCGGATGTACACCCAACGATGCTTTACGCGAGTCTGACACGGGACCGGGAAAAAAGGATCCCCTCCGCGCCCCCGACCCAAACAAAAGCGGCCGCTAGAAAAATGATAACACTTAACAAGGCAACAGAGGCAAGGACAGTTGGTGGGCTACCGTTCGACGTGTGATTCTCAAGCGAATATGCCTCTGCCCATTCGGCTACAGCACGCAAGCCGTGCCGGAACCAACGGAGCCTCGTAAACAATTGCGGCGGGATAGGAACCCGCTCCGGGAGTTGCCAGATTTCGCGTCGCCCCAATGCACCTTGGCCCTCAAGGTGCCAACTGCGGAACCATTTTCACGCAGCGCGAGGAAGGGGCCATGACTGCGCCCAACAAAACTCCTAGAGCAAACCTGAGCAGGCTGGCGCATCCCGCGATCGGAGGCATGTCTCCGCATGGGGCCTTCTACCAACCAGGCATATCATAAACAGGTCACGAGGAGGCGTGGAGGCAAAAAATCCAGGATCACAAAACGACAATTGAAGTGCTGCGCGCCGATAGGCCGGCTGCTCCACGATCGCAAGTCATGGTAACAGCTCCTCAATTTGCTTGACACATTAAGTCGCACTTGCGAGCGTTCTTCTCATCCGTCGGCGAAGCGTTCTCCCCATCCGTCCTGAGGTCGCTGCAGAGGAAGCGGGGCGCAGTCTTCTCGTGCCTCTCGTTGCCCAGTCTGACTGTGGCGCGGTCGTGCTTGAGCTTCCCGCGCATCGCGTCCAATATCGACTCCCGGACGATGCTCCCCCACGTCATGGGGTCGGCCCTCGTATCGCGAGCGTCGCACCAGAGCGTGTGAGTGATTTGCTTGATGCGGAGCTGGCCGGGGAGCCATCGTAGGTGGCCGGCCATGCTGCGCTCTGAAGGTGGACGCGCAAGATCCAAGGCGATGGCCGCGAAGACGGACATCCCGTCCACAACCAGGGTTGCCGCGATGGCACAGCCTCCCTCGTCTCTCAGCTTCCTGATCTCCTCCGTTGAGACTGGGCCCCTGATCATCTCGCGGCGCGCGAGAAGGTTGGCCTGCACCCTTCCGAGGGCCACATCGCCACAGGAATGCAGGAGGTACACAGGGCACGCGAGAGGCCACGGGTCGCGAGGCACAGGACACAAAGGCACCCTTGATTTGGCAGGGTCGACCTACTAATCCGGGCCGACTGTGGGGAGAAAGGGGAAGGCTTCTTCGAGGGAGGCGGCTTCTCAGGAGGCGCCGGCCCTACATCTGTGGGCCCGCGCCTTCTGAGAGCCTTCCCCCCTCCCCCTACGGCAGGTTCGCGTCGTGTCGACCCTGGCGTTGGTTCCTGACACCCCGGGAATCGTTCAGACTTGAACGATCGGCCCTCTCAAAATGGCTGGATCGTTCAAAGATGGGCCGATTCTGGGCCACAGGCGGCGTTCAACCCTAAATGCCCACGCTGGGGTCACCGCCGGTCGACACGACGCGAACCTGCCGTACCCCCGTCTGCACTTGGCCGAAACATGGTCGGGGATCTTCTGACCCGGGTCAATCCAGACCCGGGTCAGCAAGAAACCAAAAACGGCAACGCAGGACAAAAAACTGCAACGCAAGTCTTCGCAAACCTGGGTCAGCCAATTTGCGCGGCCGCCTCGCGGCCACGAGCGGCTCGCTAACCCGGGTCAACCAGAGGGGCTCTTCGCAAGATCCTGCAGGATCTTGTGCCCAGGCTGACCCCCGTTTGCATTGACCCCCATCTCTTGTGAATGGGGCCCCAGGACACACAAATAAATACACACAAATAACCGGATTCCGAATATTTTCCAACATTTTCTGGGGGATCGACGATTCATTGTGCCTGTGTGTTCTTCTTCCCTCCTGATCTTGATCCCCGACATGGCTGGCTCGGCACGGAGCCGGCATCGATGCGGACCGGCTGCGCCAGGACGCCCGGCAACGTCAGTGCGGGCATGGGGCCGCACACCGGGCCGTCGGAGCACCAAAGTTCGACGCCGGGTTCGGGCTGGCCGGCATCGAGATCGAGCCGGGTGGATTGGATCGAACATTTCACTCCTCCGATCCCCGGAGGAGGGCGGGGGAGGAGCACCAATACAAGGTGGAGAAGCAGGAGGTGGGAAGCGGGAGGAGCAGGAGTAGAGGAAGAAACCGCGTCTGGGATTGCTCGAGGTGCCCCTGGCCCAAGGTGCCCCCAGCTTTTCGCTCCAGTCTGGAGTCCCTGGTGCCCCCTGGGCCTCGTGAGGGGTGCTCTGAAGGCTGTTGGAGGCCGCCTTGGAAATCCTGGTGGCACCCTGGGCCAGGGGCACCTCGTGCGACACCCGAAAACATGGCACAGGCAGAAGCTTTCGGAGCTCCGCGCGGCAGGCTTGGATCGGCGATGGACCCCCCTGGCGCGCGGAGCGCCCATCGGGCGTCGCCCTTGGCGCCACCAGGGGGGCCAGCGCAGATCCCAGAGATCTGGGAAGGGGGTTCCTCTCCTTCTCCTCCTCCTCCTCCTCCTCCTCCTCCTCCTCCTCCTCCTCCTCCTCCTCCTCCTCTGTGAGGGGGCGCAGGGACGCACAACAGAAACAGATTCTCCACAACATGTTGGACTTTCGTCGCCCCCTCCACTTCCCGCATGTTCCCACGTTTCCATGGGGATCGGCGATTTTTGTACCTGTGTCTATTCTCCCCCTCCTGACTCTTCTTGGCAGGCGTATTCACCGGTCGGAAGAAGCAGGTAGAAACATAAAGTAGGAAGGCGCTGAAAAGGATATTGGGTGTCCGCCCACCCCCTGAAGAGGACGGAACAGGTGAAGCAACTCGATCCCTGAAGCAGGAAGACGTAGATTGGAATCTGGGAATCCAAAAATACCTTTTTGCTTCTTCCGGTACTTCGCCGCCGGGTTCCTGTCCAAGGCGTTCCTTTGCAAGCACATCGTCTTCGGCACCGCCTGATTCCGGGGCTTTGCCCCCTCCTGGCCTTAATGTGAGGCCCCTCCTTCTGCCCCCCTCTCGTTAATTCAAGCTGTGCGCGGCCCGCTTAGCTTCGACCGGAAGAGGTACGCTCTCGACCCGCGGATCAAAAAGAGTCCACAAGTACCTACCTTCAACGAACGATGGGCAATGACATGCAAGGCCCACCCCGCGCGGTCCAGGTTCTGGACAAAGTCGAGGCGAGCGCTCCCGTCCTGCCGCATGGCGAGGACCGCCAGGTACACGTGCGGGTCCTGCGCAGGGCGGGAAAGCGGCGGGTGCGGCCTGCGCGCCCCGAGGGCTCGCCGTCGCTCGGACGCCCATTTTTCCCGTGCATTTTTCGGCTTCGCGCGTGTTGAAACTGCTCGATGGTCCAGGATGCTCCTCCAGGGTCCTCGCCGAGAAAAACATGCACACGTCCGAGCGATGCCTAGGAGGATTGGGGGGGGGGGGCCGGCGAGGGGGCGGGCGGAAGAGACTTTAGAGGAAGAAGCTACCCCAGCCTAAGGAGTAGCAGCAGAGGAGACGATGCGGGCCGAGGCGTAAGTGGTCGGCTGTGAGAAACAGGGTTCGGAACGGAGCCATGTGCTCCTTGGTGTGGTTTTGTTGCAGAGAACCCCGTGACTGTCTGAACCCAAAAGTGTAGCTGACATTGAGGCGAGACCATGACTCCTGAACAAACTGTGAGGCGGTCTCAAGCGAAACGGCTGCCGGACCAGGCGATCTAGGGAAGGGATCTCCGTCCCCAGTGGGACTCGCCTGTTGTCATTTTTCACCACTGTGAGAACCCCATGGCGAAACGCTATGAGGGAGAAATTACGTAACCATAAACTTTCCGAAGTCCGCGCGAATGGCTTGGATATGCGCCGAGGTCCCCTCCCTGGCGCGCGGAGCGTGCCAAGAGCGGCGCCGGAAAAGCCGCCAGGTGGGCCCAGCGCCGATCCGAGAAATCCGCACGGAACTCCGACAACTCATGTTTCTGCCTTTGTTTTCCGGCGGAGCCGGGTGAAATTCCATGCCCTCCGCTGACTGACTAACCGACCGAACTGAACTGGAAGGACACTTTTGACAAAACATTTGGGACTGCACAAGCGCACTTGTAACCGCAACAAGGCGACACATTTCGCCCCGCCAGCGGGTGCAACCACCACCGCAATAAAACGTTTCAACCCGCACACGGGCGCAATCACCATCGCAACCAGGCGACACATTTCACCCCGCCAGCGGGCGCAACCACAATCGCAACCAAACGACACATTTCAACCATCCCGCGGCGCAACCGCAACCACAACCACATCCAAGCGGCACATTTCAACCCGTCCGCGGGCGCAACTGCATCCGCAACCAAGAGACATATTTCAACCTGCCCGCAGGCAAAACCGCAACAGTAACCAGGCGACACATTTCACCCCACCAGCGGGCGCAACCACAATCGCAACCAAACGACGCATTTCAAACCGCCCGCGGGGGCAACCGCAACCGCAACCAGGAGACACATTTCAACCTGCCCGCAGGCAAAACCGCAACCAAACCCGCAAAATAGCGTTTCTTTATAAGCGGCGATAACGCGCGTTATGGGGGAGGACTTTATCAAAGCTGGGGGGGGCGGGGGGGAGCATAACGTAATGCCCCCGCCCACGCCGTGCGGTTCCGGCGCCACCACAGCGTCCGCGCGCCCAACGACGACGACGAGCGACGAGCGACGATGACGGCGACGACGACGAGCAGCGACCACGATGACGAGCGACGACGACGATGACCAGAGACCACGACGACGAGACGCCGATCAAGACGACGAGCCACGACGACGACGACGACGAAAACGACGGCGATACCGACGACGACGATGACGACGAGCGACCATGACGTTAATCACGACGACGACGACGACGACGACGACGGACGACGACGACGACGACGACGGCGACGTCGACGAGCGACGCCTCCGGAGGTTTCCGTAGCTTCCCCGAGGCCCCTGGAGGCTCTGGAGGCCTCTGGAAGCCTCCAAAGGCCTTCTGGAGATCATCCGAAAGCCTGCGGAGGCCCTCGCGAAAGCATTCGAACGCGTTAGACGACGACGAGCGACCGCGAGCGATGAAGACGACGACGACGAGGACGATGATGACGACGACGACGACGACGACGACGACGAGCGACGACAATGACGACGACGACAGCGAAGAGCGACGACGACGACAACGACTACGACTACGACTACGACGACGACGACCGACAACGAAGAACGACGAGGAGTTCTGGCGAGCACATGCCTGCGGATGTGTCTTTGCCTCCACGTGGCGTGTAAGAGGTGTGCTCCTTACCTCCCTCCACATCCTCGTCGTCGTTGTCGTCGTCGTCGTCTTCGTCGTCGTCGGTGTCGTCGTCTTCCTTCTCCTCATGATGCTCTCGCTCCTACGAACACCAGTGCCTGAGAGCACCGCAACTTGCCCGCGACCACCGCCCCTATGCGGATCCTCACGCGGACGCCGATGCGGATCCCTATTCGGGTTCCTATATGGATCCCTATGCGCATGGCGGCAGTGTTGGGGGCGCACTGGTGGCCAGAGCTTTACGCTACCCGGGGGGGGGGGCGGGGGGAGCCATAATGCGCGCAATGGCCCAAACAAAAAAAAACACGCTCCAAACCGCATCCAAACGACACATTTCACCCCGCCCGCGGGCGCATCGCAACCAAAAAAACACATTTCAACCCGTCCGCGGGCGCAACCGCAACCGCAACCGCAACCAAAAGACACCTTCAACCCGCCCGCTGGCGCAACCGCAACCGCAACCGCAACCAAACGACACATTTCAAACCGTCCGCGGGCGCAATCGCAACCGCAACCGCAACCAAGAAGACACATTTCAACCTGCCCGCGGGCGCAATCGCAACCGCAACTGCAACCAAACGATACATTTCAACCCGCCCGCGGGCACAACCGCAACCGCAACCAAATGGCACATTTCAACCTGCCCGCGGGCAAAACCGCAACCACAACCGCAAACACACGGCACGTTTCATCCCGCCCACGGGCGCAACCGCATACGCAACCAAACGACACATGTCAACCCGCCCGCAACCGCAACCGCAGCCGCAACCAGGCGACACAATTCATCCCGCCCGCGGGCGCAAGCGCAACCCTATTCGCAAGCAAACGGTACGTTTCAACCCGACCGCAGGCGCAACCGCAACCGCAACCAGGCGACAATGTTCAACCTGCCCGCGGGCGACACATTTCAACTCGCCCTCGGGCGCAACCGCCCGAGGAGCAGGAGGGTCAAGAGCACGAGGAAAAGCCGGAGGAAAGAGAGGACGAGGAGGAAGAGAGGGAACAGGAAGAGGGGGATGGGCAGGACGGCCACGAGGAGGAAACAGAGGAAGAGGAGGAGGACGACGACAACGAGGGGGATGCAGGGGTGGTCGTGTTTCAGGGAGGTGCAGGAGCAGGTGCCTGTGGAGGAGGAAGCACAAAGGCACGATAGGAAGATTGAGGGCCTGGGTGATGAGAAGGAGGAGGAGGCCGATGAGGAGGAAAACGAGGAAGAGGAGGAGGAGGAGGAGGAGGAAGAGGAGGAGGGGGAGGAAGAGGTCGCGTTGCCCGCGGTTCTTCGCCAGGACATTGCAGCGGGGAATCCCCATTTTACGCAACTGCCTCTGTTTATTCTGCGAAGATTGGCTGAGTGAGGAATTTCTCAAAACGCGCACGCCATTCACCTCAGGACGGGCAGGCTGGCGCTTCCACGATGAAGAAGACCAAGACGAGCTCCCAACGAGGAAGATGCCGACCCACCCAGAATTCAACGCCATATGCGAGGGAACATATGACGAGGCCCGCCTCGAGCAGCACGAACAAGCAAGCGCCCAACGGCCAAGAGGTAGGGCGGAGGAGGACGAGGAGTGCTTGTGACGCCCCAGATCTGCCGCACTGGCGTGAGCGCAGCGACAGGATGCACAGGGAGCATGCGCAGGGAGCAAGAGGAACAGGAGGGCAATGCATTCGCATGGCGGACGGAGCCGGGGCGCCACCAGCGAGAGAGCGAGAAGGGGACGAGGGGGGCCTGCTCGATCCTCGATCCTCCTCCTTCCTCGACCCTCGACTCTCCTCCTCCTCCTCCTCCTCCTCCTCCTCCTCCTCCTCCTCCTCCTCTTCCTCCGTCTCTTCCTCCTTCCCCTCCTCCTCCTCGATCCTCGGCCCCCGCCCCTCGATGCTCCATCCTCCGCCCGCCCTCCTCCCCCTCCCCGATGCTCCATCCTCCCCACCCCTCCTCCTGCCTCCTCTCCCTCCTCTCCCGCCCTGGGCGGCGTCGGCGGCCGCGGGAGCGACGAGGGGGCCCGGCGGCCGAGGGGCGACGGCGGGCGCGCTCGGGCGGAGGATGCCCCCGCCAGGGCCTCCCGTGCGAGGCGGCGCCGCCCTTGCCGCCACGAGGGGGCCCTGGCCTTACGTCGGGCGTGTCCCCCCACAGGGGGATTGACGACGAAAAAACATACTCACACAATAATCCCAAACGGCCAGAAATACTCCAAAAATAGTCTTTTTGACGATTTATTTGGACAGCGTTTGCGAATATTCCCCCTGCAGAGGGGCACGCCCGACTTAACCCTGGCCCTCCTTCTCCCACGCGACGGCCTTGCCCAAGGTGCCCCCAGCTTTTCGCTCCCCTTTGCAGCCCCTGGGGTCCTCTGGGCCTCCTGAGGTTTTTTCGCCCAGTGATCAAGGACGCTCCTCGATGGTCCTCGCCGAAAGAAACATGCACACGTCCGAGCGACGCCGAGTCCCACGCGACGGCCTTGCAAGGGGACGCACCACCGCCCCTGCCGCGCGGCACGCTCGGGCCTCCCAGTCCCTTCGCCGCCCAGCAGGGCGCTCGAGCGGCACGTGGTCGCGGAGGTCGTTCGGTGGGGGGCGCCACAACGGGGGTGGCAGCAGGTCGCAGGGATCGCGCAGCAGAATCTTCCGACGGGCGGGGGCTGCAGAACCTGCAGCGTCGTCCCTGCTCCTCCTGTTGGGCCCCTCCTTCCTGTGAGCTCTCGCCCTCCACCTCCTGAGCCTCCTCATTCTGCTCCTGCTCTCCCTCTCAGCCCCCGCCCCCGGCGGCTGCGGGGAGGTCATGATCTGCTTGCTCCTCCTCCTCCTGTTCCTCCACACATCCCTGCCTCTCCTCCATCTGTCCCCACCACCACTTCCCTTCCCCTCTCCTCCAAATCATCCTACACCGTATCCTCTACCTCCTGCTCACCATCATCTTACTCCAC